TTTATAATGCTACCCACAAATCAACAGTATTCATGAGACAAATCATTGAAAGTTCCATATGCCAATTTAAAAATTTATTAAATAATTACGTCAATTAGAATTTTATTCTGCAATCACACGATGTAAATTATGCTTATGATTTATTTCTAAACCAGTTTTCTTAAATGTATGATTAGGCATTTCCTTTAAAAGTAAAAGTAATAAACTCAAATTTGGTCGTACCCCCATGGATGACCAAAGACCTATTAAAATTATTAAGGAAAAAACAAAAATTGTATAAATTTTTTTTTTTTTTTTTTTTTTGCCGTTTCATATATTTACAATATAAACATATTACATTTATAAAAGTTGGCCGAAGCAAGAAGAAGACAATGACTGTCTTATCGCCGAGCCCCGTTTACAAATTGCCCGTGTTTATAAACAAATATAAATAAAATATACAAAAAAACGTTAAAGAGTACATAATTTTTGTCAAATAATAAAATGACATTTATATTAAAATTTAAAAGTAAAGAAAATTTTGTATACTAATACAAATATATTTGATACATATAACAAAATATATTTAATGATAATGGGAGCGTTTGTTTCAATTTTAAAATTTCCTTTTAAAAAAAATACTTAAAGTCTATTGAATTAAAATCTAATTGAAGTAAGATTCTTTTAGAAACTGCTTTAAATTTTTCTAAAGAGTAGTGTTCTTTATTAAAGTTTTTAATAAAATTTTTCCATAAAAAAGGTCCTTGATATTTAATTTGATAAGAACTTATTTTCAAATTTATTCTCAAAACAATAAAGTTATCCTCTGAAAACTTTGTTGGATACTTATAAGATATTTCGCTAAAATAAGATTGAAATATAAGTGGAGATATTCCATGTTTCATTTTAAACATGAAAAGTAATGTTTGGTAAACGTTTAGTTTATAAATGTTTAAGGCTTTAAGACGATTCAATAGTGGTTTGCATAAAAAGTTCTGTTTGCCTCAAATACAATCCTACAGGCATGCTTTTGTTTACTATAAAGTTTTTTGAGTTTTCCGTAATTCGTACTTTCCCATGCAATGTTGCAGTAAGAAAGATAGCTTTGAATAAATGAAAAATAAATTTTCATTAGAGCTTTTGCGTTTAAAAATGGTTTTGTTTTATAAAGTACGGAAATATTATAGGAGATTTTACTTTCAATAGATTGGATGTGAAACTTCCATGACAAATTTTCATCAAGAATTACGCCTAAAAAATTAACAGTAGATTTCATTTTTACATCCGTTTTATTATATAAAAGATTTGCCAGTTTAAGTGGAATTTTATCAACTTTATTTGGTTTGTGGAACAGGATGAATTTCGTTTTATCTACATTTAGTGAAAGGCGGTTACTTATAAACCATTCATTTACTTTAGATAATTCTTCATTAAATATTTTAAAGAGAATTTTTATATCTCTGTGTGAATAAAACAGATTGGAACCGTCAGCAATCAATATAAGATATAATTTTTAAGATGCTAAAAACAAGTCGTTTATATATACTGGAAACAAAAATGGTCCAAAGATAGATCCTTAAGGAACCCCGCAATTTATAAGCTTTTTTTTGGTTTCATTTGTTTTATAGGTTATGCATTGTTTTCTGTTAGTCAAGTAGTTTTTAAACCAAAGTAAGATTAAGTTGTTTACTCCATAAACTTTTAATTTTTTTATAAGGATTTCATGATTGACAGTGTCAAATGCTTTGGATAAAAAACTCCTAAGGTAAAATAATCTTTATCAAAAGCATCCGATATATGGTTTACAAGCTCAATTACCGCGTGATCCGTAGAATGATTTTTTTTAAACCCAAATTGTTTGTTGTACAAAATATTATTTGATACTAAATGATTATAAAGCCTATTGTACATAATGCGTTCTAGCAATTTAGAGAAACAAGGTAATACAGAAATAGGTCTATAGTTTGAAACATTTGTTTTTTCACCTGACTTAAAAATCGGTGTGATTTTGGCTATTTTAAGTTTGTCTGGTACAATACCAGACGTTAATGAGAGATTAAAAATGTGAAACAATAAGGGTTCAATAATATCAAAGACTGATTTAACTACATTGACGCTAATTTTATCTATGTCTGCAATTTTGTTATTTTTCAGAGAGCAAAAGGCATTATGCAAATCACTTATATTTAAGTTTAGTTCTGTCATAACATTATTTGCTGTTTTGAGGTATGTTTCAAATTTTATGGTACTAGATGGATATTTCGTTAATGTAAACGGGGCTTGGCGATAAGACAGTTTATGTCTTCTTCTTGCTCCGGCCAATTTTTATACATGAATGGTTTTTTCTCATTGTAAATTTAATTATACGGCAAAGAAAATATAATAATAATAATAAGTGGTTTTACAAAAATAATAAATTCACTCTAACACTGTAAAAAGAACGCGGAAAACTTGCATAAGACCAAATGTTCTTATCATCAAGAACCGCTTTACATTGCCGTAAATATAAAAACATATTCATAAAATTTTTTCATAAAATCATTAAATTATAATGGTATTAAAATGTCAGATAACAAGTATACAAATATATTTTTACAAAAATTTTTTTTTTTTTTTTTTTTTTTTTTTTCTGAAATAATATTTACACATTTATTACTAATGCAATGTTGAAAAGATATTTATATTAAATAAAAAAGAAAATATTTATAAATAAATTTTTAAAAAAATCACTAACTAAATTTTTAAATACTCTTTTTAATAGTTTTTTTAAAGCAATTTAAGTTTTTTAAATCAATGTTATTTAAATTAATTAGTAAAAACTTATTCCAGATATGAGGTGCACGATAAGTCAATTTTTATTTTTGCATGAAGGCTCTAACAGGGTACTATTTGTACGCAATAAATATTTGTACTCTGGTTTTTGTTTATAAAGACTATAGAAAATTGAAGGACTTTTTTGCATTTTGCTATTACACATAAGACTTAAAAAATTATATACATTTAGTTCAAACAATGTTAATAAAGAGATTTGTTCAAAAAGAGGTTTTGAATGTTCTGTTTTATTTTTAAAATTAATCACACGTATAGCATGCTTCTGTTTACGATAATATGGTTCTAGTTTCGTTTTATAGATACTACCCCATGCTATATTTCCGTAGTTTAGGTAACTTTGAACAAAACTATAGTAGATTTGTTTGAGTAGTGGTTTTTTTAATAAATAAAGTGATTTAATAAATAACGTTTTTTTAATAAATAACGTGATTTTTTAATAAATAACGTGATAAATAACGTAAATTATTCCTATGCTTTTGGATATTTTACTACCTATATAAGCGATATAATTATTCCAATTTAGATTTTCGTCAATAAAAATACCCAAAAATTTCGTAATAGTATCTCTCCCTATTTCTCTATTTTCAATAAACAATTTCGGAAAAAAAGAACTTCGGAACTTTTTTTTTTTTTAAAAGAAGGATGAAATAAAGAAAACTTTGTTTTACTTGAGTTAATAGAGAGTTTGTTTGCCCTAAACCACTCTGAAATCTTCTCTTATTCATTGCTTATTTCTACGCACAGCTCGCTATTATATTTTCCAGAGATAAAAAAATTGCTATCGTTAGCAAACATTATAGTTGAAATTCTTTTTGAAGCTTTACAGAGATTGTTTACATAAATTAAGAAAACCAAGGGCCCAAGTATTGAACCTTGAGGTACACCACACTCTATTATAGACGGATTAGAGAGTTTATTGTCTCCGTAATATACATATTGCACACGTTTATCTTAATAGCTTTCTATCCACTTGTTGGATCAACCCCTTATACCGTGCGTATTAAGCTTTGATAATAATATTTTGTAGTCAACTGAATCAAAAGCCTTCGAGAGATCTACAAAAACCCCTAAAGTAACTTCTCCGTTTGTAAAGGAGTTTTTATTTCTTCAACGAAGTGAAGGATTGCGTGTTCAGTTGATGTATTTTTTTGAAAGCCGAACTGCTTGGAATAAATAAAATTGTTTTCTTTAAAAAACTAAATAACGAAAAACTAACCAAGTTAGAAATTGAATAGCTTTTAAAAGCCTCTTTAATTTCTAACATGGTTAGTTTTTCGTTATCTATATAATATTGCCGAACTTAATAGTTTTAATAGTAGTAGTGTCCCTTGGAGCGTATTTGACACGAAACCCTTGGCAGCCATTGCAAACGAGGTATTGGCAAGAAAGAGTCGCAGCGCTATAAGAAAACGTGAACGAACATCTAACGTACGTAAACTTTAAACTAATGTTAAAGCATATGTTAAAACATACTGAAACATTTATCACGTTTTACAGTTTGATTTTTACTTGAAAATTACATTGCGTCAACTCTCCTCAGTTTTGATCTAACATTTTTTTCCTCAGAAAAATTACTACATTATTATAAAATCTTCACTTAATGATATGCCGGTGTAGGTCGAGTGGATAAGGCTGCGAACTTCTGAACAAATAACTAGAGGTTCGACTCCTACCAAAGGCGGCTATTTTTTTAAATTTTTTTAATTATTTTAAAATACAAAATACTTTCGAAGTTTTATAAAGATTATATACAAACATATGTAACGTAACGATATTATGCACTCACAAAAGAAAAGAAAGCTAAAACTTCATAAAACATTAAAAAAAAAAGAAAAAACATCACCAGGAGAAAAAATATGTTGCGTATCTATGATAATTGAGACACTTATGTTTTTAATGTGCGAATGTAATTAGTCCTAATAAACTGCGGATGGTCTGAAAAAAAAGTTGTCTGAAACTTAATAAAGAAAAAACTTAACAAGACAGACCTGCTACTTCATAAGATGCTGCTGTGGAGGCAAAAAAAAAAAGCCTGTAGCTAGATAAAACTTTAAAACTTTCTTTTGACAATTAAAAGTTTATTTTGCTACATTAACTTTTTTACTATAAATATATGCAGCAACTGTTTTTCAAAACGCCTTAATATGCTTATGACGTAATTCAAAAAAAACCCAATACACCAGTTCAAGGGAAGTTCTGCCATTATTAATACCGCGCAAAAAAAAGTCCTGGAACGAATTTAGAAGGGTAAATATTTATTTTCTCAGTTGCGAATTAGTGATACAAGATATAGTGATAAGATGAAAGTTAATTGCGCTGTTATAGGATGTACCAATAGTTCCTATAAGCTAGAAAAACTGAAAAATAAAACGTGTTTTCAACACGAAGGGAAGATATTATCCGAGTGTGGATGTGTGTTACCATTCCGAATGTTTTGTTTCCCAAGTTTAAAGAGAAATAGCGAAAAAAGAAAACACTGGATTAGTCAGCTTAGACGAGAAGGAAAGAAGAAAGGAAGTGCATGGGAACCTGGAACTGCTGATAGAGTATGCTCTGATCATTTTGTTGATAAAATACCAACTGTTATGAACCCTAATCCAACAATAAATATGGGTTTTGATCAACCTGTACAAAAAAAAGCTAGAAGAACATTATTAAAGCACCCAATCACTTCTTTACATTGTTCTAATAAAATGCAGCCTGTAGAACCTTTGTTGACTGAAAAAAGTAATGTCACCAAGTTTCCAAGTGTTAGTTTTAATGCAGATGTTTTGTCACCTATATTATCAGACCATACCTATTCAATGAGTTTACCACTACCTAATAAATGTACTTCATGTGAATACAAATCTTCACTTATCACCTCTTACGTGAGTAAAGTAAATAGCCTTACTAATCAATTAAAAAAATTAAAAATAAAACAAACAGTCAAGTCTAAACAAAAATTCTCTTGGAGATTAGTTAACAATGATAAGAAAATGAACTTTTATACTGGTATATCTTCCATAGCTATTTTTAACGTTATTTTTGGTTTATTAAAACCATTTTTACCCTCAATTCGTTATTGGAGAGGCCCAAAACATTCACATAGCAAAGTTAAGCAACTCAAATCTGTATCTAAATGTAAACTGTTATCACACAGAGAAGAACTTTTAATGACACTTATGCGGTTGCGCTTAGGTTTATTAAATGAAGATATGGCTGATCGTTTTGGTATTTCAAAATCTTTGTGTTCTAATACTTTTACAACTTTTATTAGAATTATTGCTAATATTCTTGGACAAGCTATTATTGTTTGGCTGCCAAATGAAGTCATAAAAAAAAACTTGCCACAGTCTTTTGTGAAAGCAAAGCATCACAAGTGTAGAGTGATTCTTGATTGTTTTGAAATATTTATTGAACGTCCAAATTCCATTTACAACCAAGCAGTGACTTGGTCTGATTATAAGCATCACAACACTGTGAAAGTATTAATTGGTATAGCACCAAATGGATACATAACGTTTCTATCCAAATGTTACGGTGGCAGGGCATCAGATAAATTTATTACAAGTGACAGTGGTTTTTATGATCTGTTGGAAAGAGACGATGAGGTGATGGCAGACAGAGGATTTCAAATAAGAGAAGAATTATTATTTCGTTATTGCAGCTTATCAGTCCCACCAGGTGCAAGAGTAAAAAGTCAAATGACTGCAAGTGAATGTAAGAAGACTACTGATGTTGCTAACTTAAGAATTCACATAGAAAGGGCTATAAACAGAATAAAAACTTTTCGAATATTAAAAAATGTATTACCTATTTCAATGCTTCATCATATGGATGATATTATTTTATTGTGTGCAGCTTTGTGCAATTTAAAGCCTGCTTTAATAAAAAAAATTGTTTAAAATGTATATATATTTTTTAATTTAGTACTACTCTTAAATGCTTAATACAAGAAAGGGTGTATATTTTATTTCTGACCTTATAAATAATAATCTTAATTTAAGGGTTGGCTTTTTTTTTTTTTTACAGAACTTGCATAAATCAATTTAAGTTAGTGTGGATTGTGGTCAACTGTGCATCTTTAACAACTGTTTTATAATTACAATAATACTTTAGAGGAGCTGTGGCCACCCTATGTATAAAGTGAGGAAAAGTTTATTTTATTAAAATCAAAACATTATTTTCCACAAAGATTAAAGAGATTTTTTTAATTTTTGGTGTTAATAAATGGGAGGGGGAGTGGTCTTAATAAACATTTGTGGGTGGGAAAACTTTTGGAAAATTACTAAACTTCCTCCCCTTCTTGTATTAAACACACGATAGTACTGAGGTTGTATTTTTTTATTTAATTACTGAGGTTGTTTTTTTAATTTTTAATTACTTGTAAGGGATGCCGGACACCACCGTGCACTTTTAATGAATACATGTGTTTCATTTTATTACTTCTTTTTACTATAATAAGAGGCGTGGATAAACTTTTTGATTTTGAGTATATTCTTTACCTAAATATTGTTACACCATTATTTGGATCTTATTGTCTTCTTTTATAGGAAAAAAAAAATCTATAAATGCCAATTTAAATATAAGAAGGGTTTTATAATTTAAAACACAGATTTTCATTTTCATAATTTTATTCCAATCAGTTAATAGTAAAATCTACAAAGACAGTATTTAAGTAATGATCGTTGTAATACTTAAAGAAATCAACTTTCATACTCAACCAACCAGCTTCATCAAATGCAATTTTATCAATTATATAACCATGAGCTGTCCATACCATAAAATAACAATTAATCATCTTAGCAGTCCCCATTTGAACCTGACATTGAGTATAGTATCTATGCTTTTTGTTAATGACAAATTTTTCATTTAACTTTTTTGTAATATAAGGAAGAGATACTAGGATCTTGTGGTGATGTATGGTTTATAGAAAATGGACATTTTATTTCTAAACAAGCTGGCGGGCAACACGAACATCGAACAATTCCATCAGGGCTTCCACCTATATAGGGCATTTCTACATCTAAAAATAATCCACATTCATTTACAGTTAAATTTTGATGAAAGGATTTCATAACTTCAAAAAACTGGTTTGCTGCTTCAACTTCCATCGCTCTCCCGTACTTTAACGCAGGTATATCTGGGTTCACAAAAGTTAACCCTGAAATACTTTGGTGTAATGACCACATGTCAACTTTAATGCCCATGTTAATCTTTTTAATTTTTTTTAGAACATCGTGAGCTTTTGAAGCAGTTATAACTCGCTTTCGAAAATTAAACCAAAGCTTATTTGTGTTTTGACCCATAGTCAGACGCTCTATATTTGTAATTATTTTTTGAGTCATATTTGTTTTTTTATTTTCACAAAAAGAAAATTTATTGTCTGACATAACAATAATATCATCCATGGTCAAAATTGTAGGTTTGGTAACATTTTCAAACACGATTAATTTTTCCATATAATAAATTTCAGGTTTAGGTACAGCAGAAGTTATAATGCTATGAGGAGCAACAGTTTCGATTGCTTTTGCTATGTCTGTTAAATTTAAAAGCTTTATATCACAGTTTACTAATGGGCTGTAATTACGCTTTTCATTTGATACTAGTGAACGCTTTTTTCTTCCACGCTGACCAAATTCATCACGATCAAATTTTAAGTCACATATTTTTGTTGGTGCTACTATGCTACGATTTGGAAGCCACTCTGATTTTGAACTAGTACAAGCTACATTTGTCAAACCATTTCTAACAGCAGCCTCTATTCGAAAGAGGCTTGCAGCAACATGATTACATGTCTGCGATAGACCAGCTAGACAAGTGCAATGTGCTGAAATTATTTTAGCAGTTTTTTTATTAATAATAATCCATAGCTTGTGAAAGGGATCATTAATTTTTTCAGATTTCCTACAGTTCTCTTTTAAATAGCAATATTCACTCTCTATTCCTATTTGATGGTAAAATAAAGGTTCAAGCCAGCCACATTTAAAATAACTATAAGCTTTACACGTTTTGTAGTCACATAAGTCTTTACTTGCAATTTCAGCAGGGTTAAATAACAAATAATTGTAAATATCAGGATATAACAATGTTGGCCAACAAGTTAGACCTTCATATTCTGATAACCAACCATTACTAAGCTTAAAAGTGATCCTTTTAAGCTTAGTAATGGTTGTTCAACGCCGTTTATAAAAAGTTTTTTTTTGTACTCAGTAAGTATATCATGCTCCACCTCTTCAGCTGTTTTAATAGGCGTAACATTGTTTTCCATTGCACAATAGACTCGAGCTGCAAGAATTTCTTTCTTTCCAGATATTTTCAAGCCACGAAGACGTAAATAAGACTTCAGTTCTTCAACCTTCATACTACACACTGTATCATAATCCATTTTGATTTATATATGTTATATATTTGCTTTAATAGTGATAGGATTTGTTTTAGTTGTTTGTTTATACTTCGTTTACTCAAGAATTAAATTTTACGACTTGATTTGTTTCCCTTATAAACTCGATCCAGTCTTTTCTTTTAATTCTCCGTAACGCGGCTCGAACTGGTGTATTAAAAATGAAAAACTCTTTGTAAAACGTTTTTTGAAACGAATAACTTTTATTTAGTTTTTTTTTTTCTTTTGTGCAACTTTCTTTTCAATAAATTTCTTTACCTTTCAGAATATGACCATTTTAAACAATGCTATAGAAAAATTATCAGTAAATTGATAAGTAGTATTTCAATTATATTAATTAGATTAAATTATATATATTAAATTGTATATTATATATATTAAATTAAATAGATAAATAAATTGATATTCAGTTTATACATGGGTGTTTTTTTTTTATACTTAGTGACAAAATAGACTAATTAGATAAGTCGTTAAGTAGAATGCTAAGAATATATTTATGGCGGTTATTGTTGTTAAGGGTGATTAATAGGCAAATAAATTAAAAGCTAATCAGGGCTTTGAATAAATTATAAACTAATCAGGAAAGTTTTATTGGTAAACCTAATAAATAGGAAGATAACATATAATTCAGGTAGACATTTTTTTCACTTTTTCGCCAAACTTTGATATCTTTGATATTAAAAAATATGACCTTTCCAATAATTATAGATGGAAGTTTATCAACCTTTTTTTTCGGAACCACAATCCGTTATGATTTGTATTTTATCAATGTGAACGAAAGTCTATTCAAATATCTAAATATGTAAACTTTAAGTTCTTTAATTATCAATCAGTATAATTATAAAGTAGATGACATCAAATTCTACCGATTTATTTTTACTTAATAATTTCATTCCGACAATATCTCTTTATTTTAAAGCATTAAATGTTGTTTTTTAAAGTTTAATAAGTTTTCTGTTTATTAAATAGTGTAAAAAGATGATATAGCATTCCACAGCGATTGAAGTGCTTCGCTTCGGTTCAAAACCTTTTGCTTACACAATTTTTTTTTTAAATCCTATCCAGTTTTCTAGAAAACAAAGAAAAACAAGTTTAAATGCATATAGATGTTATACGCATTACATAAAAATAAAGATATAATATACTATAAGAAAGCAAACGGAAAGAATTTTTAAAAACGTTTTTAAAAATTTTTAAAAACATAAAAACGCTGTTGGAAATTTGTTGCGCATATATCATGATAGAGATACTTATGTTTTAGGTAATTAGTTAAAACTGCGAGTTCAACACACATTAAAGAAATAAATTTCTTTCTTATATATATAAAAAAAAGGTTTTACATGCAATCTGAAACTTTTATTAAAACTAACTGGTCAAGAGTCCTAAAAAGTACGGAAGGGTATGAAAAAAAAAATTGTAATCGGAAACCTAAAAAAAAAAAAATAGTTACTCCAGAAGGTGACAAACAGAAAACCCACAAAATTTCGCCTAATCCGCTAATAGAAATGCTCGAATATTAAGATATAAACAAATATTAAATGATTTTTGTATTACGAAACGTACGCCAACTCTTAAACCACTGTAAAACTACCTTGCGGTTATCTAATTAAATCCACCAAATCCGTTAATAAAAACAGCTTAATTAATAGATTCAAAACCATCTGATTTTTGTATTATGATATGTGCGCCAACTGTACTCTAAAACCAATAAAACTCGGCCATGTGGTCTTCATATCGATTATAACAATTGCGAAGCGAGGGACGACAAGTAAGTTGTATCTACAAGTTTAATTATTGTAATCTTCATTTAAAAAATTAAACTTATTTTATAATTACCATGTTAATATGTTTGAAGTTAATATGTTTTTGACCCAAGAATAAACATTAAGATTATTTTTTAGAAATGAGCAGCCAAGATACAGAAGGTATTCTTTTAATTTTCTATAACATTAATTAAAGAGATAAAAAGAGATGATACGTCAATAATACTGAGATATTTAGCTTATTTTTTTTTAAGAAATTACATTAAGAAAATTTTGTATATCTTTAGGCGACAAAGAAGTTTCTGCATTTTTTCGAAGTAAGCCATATATTTATACTATATATAGTAGCAGTTACATATGTTCTAAAAGTGGCGGAGCTGTACTTGATTTACGGTGTGAATAAAACGATGATTTAATTTAGCCGTTTTTAATTAAAATCAACCAAGATATGCCGCCCTCCCCTAACCCCGTAAATCAAGTACACCCCCCTAAAATTTAACTAAAATTAAAAAATATACAAATTAATTTTTAGAACTTTAAAAGGCTGGACCCAAAACTAAGTTTTTGTTTATTCCGCTATTTTGATTGATGTTTTTGCAAAGCAGTGAACCTTAAAAACGCGTATAAGCTTTATTTAAGGTGTTTAAGCTATAATTTCATAAAACGTGTTTAAGCTAAAATTGACATTTAAGTCTTCTAACTACTAAACTTTCACGTAAAATGAAACTTTTTGTCATTTACTGAATGTGTTAAATTATAAAACTGTGCAACAGTTTTATAATTTAAGACAAATCTTATATGTTTAATTGAAAAAGTAAATATTTTGAAAATTAATTTTGTCTATATATATATATTAGATGTTCAAGAGATCAGAGCCGAAGAGCTCTTGCCAAGTAAGCTAATTTTGTATGAGAAGGATATGTTACAAAGATATATATTTCATCAATTTCAGCAATTTTTTAATTATAACTTTTTTTTAATGTTTAGCGGAAGTAATGGACAAGCTAAGAGAGGAATTTTGTTGTTGTTTTTTGTTTTTTTTGTGTGCAAATACATTTATGCTTTTTTAGTTTTTTTAAAGTTATTTAGCAACTGACTTTTGTCAGTTGTGACAGTTTGTCAGTCAGCAAGTGACTTTTGTAACTTTTAAATGTATTTTATTTAGAAAAATTAGAAGATTCTGTTGAGAATCTAAGTAAGCAATTTGTTATTGTTGTTGTAATGCTCTTTATTTTTTTTATTACATATTTATTTAACATAAAGTTATTCTATATTTGGCAAGTTAGTTTATTTTAATGTTTATAAGTTTTTCATTTTATTTAGAAAAATTAGAACATTCAATGGGTAAACAGAATTTGATTATATTACATTTGTGTATTATAGATAAAGCATTTTACTTTCAAAAAAAAAGGTGTATTCTATGGTCTTTTAGCTTTATTGATACAATTTTTAGCATTTTCTTTATAGGGCTTATATTTCAACAACTTAGTAAGTTACTATATTGTTCTTGTGAATTGTTTCTTTACTTTTATTTTTTATTTTATTTGTCGCTTTTTTCTTTTTTTTGGTTTGTTTTGTTTTGTGATTGTTATTTTTGCCTTTTGTTTTGTTCCAACTTTATTTATAGATTTCCTAAAGTTGACAAATATTCTGCATGTTAGTTTCTTTCCTAATGTTAATGAGCTTTTTTTATTCTATTTAGAAAATTTAGAAAATTCAATTGGTAAGGAAAGTACACTTATGTTTCTTTTTGTTTAATTTTAACACACATTTTTTGATGTTTGTGTGCGGTTTTATCACTCTAAAATAAACTGTTTAATTGATTAGTATATGTTAGTTTATGTAAATATATTTTTTACCTCCACTATAGCGTCATCTGCAGTACCATCAGGTAATGTGTTTTGCATTCTTATGCAGTTTTAAGAGTGTTATGTGTGTTAAAACTTAAAGATAGCATATCTTAATTTACAGATTACTTTATTTATTTATTTTTTTGTCTCTACATTAGCACCTCAAGCAATAATATCAGGTAATTTCTTTAGCATACTTATGCAGTTTTATGGGTTTTATGTGTATTTAAACTTAATCATTACTGTTTTCATGCAATTACATAAATGTTTAACATATGTTACTTTATACACTTCTTTTTTTACCTTTACAATAGCACCAATGTCATCATATGCAGTACCATCAGGTAATGTGTTTTGCATACTTATGCAGTTTTATGGGTTTTATGTGTATTGAACTTAAACATTACTTTTTTCATGTTTGTAAACAATTTCATAAATGTATAACATATGTTACTTTATACACTTTTTTTTTTTTTTTACTTTTACAATAGCATCAATATCATCTGCAGTACCATCAGGTAATGTGTTTTGCATACTTATGCAGTTTTATGGGTTTGATGTGTATTGAAACTTAAACATTACTTTTTTCATATTTGTTATCATTTACATAAATGTTTAAAATATGTTACTTTATATATTTTTTTGTGTCAGTAAGAATTTTTCTCTTTAGCAATGCTGATAAAACTGAATTTTTTTAAAAAAAAGAGTATTTCCAGCTTTCCAACCAAATATTAGAGACTTTTACAAAAGCACCCTCACAAAGTAAGTGTCTAATATTTATATAATATTACTAAATTTTGTTTCGTATTTTTTATTTTTCAAATGAATTAACATAAAACAAATAAATGTGCGTTCAGTGTTATTAATAATGATTTTATTTCGTTTTTAGATAATGCTATTATAATCAATTTAAAAGTCTTTCAAATCGTTAATCATTTTCTAAAGGCGAAGAAGAAGAATCATCAATCTTCATACTATTTAATAAAGCTATTTTAATAAAACGCAATACAAATTGTTGTAAATTAGTATTTGAATAATTTTCACGTTGCTACCTTATTTTGCAGTTTCCTATGACTTTGTATTGAATTAACTATATCCAATATTGCAGTGCCTTATATCAAGTACTTCACATTTTCTGTTTTTGTTTTATGCAGAAAAACAGATCAAGTTAATTTATTTGACATGCCTAGCTACTTATTTTACACGCCTAGCGACAGTGAGTGTGCATAAATCAACAGAGGATTTGGGTTTGGGCAGGTTGTCTTGAACTAAATGATTTACCTTCTTCATGTTAAGCTCTAAATATAAATATACGGAAAAGGTGCATATGTGAATTTTTTTTTTTTTTCTAGCACATAATCTATTGTTCACTAAAAAATATTAGAGTGAGAAATAAAGATAAGGTTAATGTAGAATAGAGTTTGTCCTTTTAAGTGAAAAACTATTTTATAATCTATCTATCTTCTATATAATAATGCCAAACTTAATAGTAGTGTTAGTAGAAAGAGTCGCAACACTTTTTTTTAGAAGAAAACGTGTATGCAAATATCTAATGTACGTAATTAAGTAATGATAAAACATACTGAAACATTTTTCAAGTTTTATACTTTGACTTTGACTTAAAAATTGCATTGCGTCAACCTCTCCTAATTTTTTGATCTACAGCAATTCCGTTAAAAACAATTTTTATATTTTTTTAAAATTTCGATATTTGATGTGTTAGCATGGCCGAGTGGTTAGCGCGCTAAGCCTCTGAACGTAATAGTCGTGGTTCAAATTTACCGCCAGCGATTTTTTTCTTTAAATTACAAAATATTTGTGAAGTTAAACAAGTTAAATGTTATACACTTTAACCGTTTTTTTTTTTTAATTTTATAAATTTTTTGGATTTCTTAAAACACCAATAAACGTGGCAAAAATTTTTTGCGTGTGTGTCACGATTTTGATACTGTTCTCGCATAATTGGTCCTAATAAGCTACGGATAGTCTTAAAAAAAAAGGTCCTAAAACCTAATAAGGAAAAAATTTGATAAAACCGTCGTGCTACTCCACATGGTATTGCAGTGGAGGCAGGGAAAAAAAAAGCAATGAAAAGGTTTTTTGTTATATTTAATTTTTTGCTATAAATATAGCCAGATTAAAAAAATTAAAAAAAATGAATTGAGATTTTTTAGGCGCGGATTTGAAGCCTTGCACAGCGACTCTGATGACTGCGCACTTAACTTGTGAGCTATCAAAGTTATGCATGTAGTTAGGTGCTTCAACATTTTTTTAAAAATGTAAAATGAAAACAAAATAAATACCATAAGTAAGAGCTAAATAATAACGTTTAAAAATTACCAAATATTTTGTTATAATATTATTAGTTTTTCAACTTTTAAACCACAAAATTTATAATTTATTTTTTTGCATGACTTTTGACGCTTTAGACGAATAACGTTTTAAAGAATTGCATTACCGTTTCCGTCTAATACAAAGATAACTATAAAAGACCGTTATTGTTCAAAACTAAGCATATAATAATAGTAAATATAGTAAACTATTGAATATGGCTAGGACGCGACCATAAACCATGGTCCATGGCTGGTCTAAAAGTAGGAAGTAGTTTAGTTCAGAATTTTTTTAAAAAAAATAAATAAACGGGGTTTAATAAGCTATATACGCATGCGGAAAAAGTTCGTATGTTAAAGTTTTTTTTTGCTCTTAAAGCAAATTTTTTTAATGAATTTTTTTCCACAGTTTACTAAAAAATATTGAAGTAAATAAAGAACAAGTAAAGAAATGATTGGCGTGGAATTGATAAATATAGAAGTAGAAGAAAAGACCTGCATTTACCGATACGGACAGCTAGATTAAGAAAATAAAGCAAAAGGTTTGTGTGGAATAGACTTACAAAGACCCGTATTTTTACGGGTTAATTCAGCTAGTTTAGTTTATTTCTATTACAAATTAAATATTTATCAAAAGATATATTTACCCGAGGAATTTGAGATGCAAGTTTAGATCCTATATTAACAAAGAAGTTGTTAAACTCATTTACAATGTCGTTTTCATTGTCAATTGATTTGTGATTGATTTTTATTGTCTTAGGAAAGCATGGTTTGCTAGTTTTTGGTTTTCCAATTAATTCATTTAATAATTGCCATGTTTTTCTGGAATCTGTTTGACACTTTTTAAGAAGTTTGTTATAATAAGTAGCTTTAGCGGTTTTTTTAAGTTTCTCAAATAAATTTGCATAATTCTTGTATTCTGTTTTTGTTTTATCACTTTTTTTTTTAAGGTAGTTTATATATACTTTTTGTTTCCGTTAAGATGACTTTTTAAGACCTTTACTTAACCAAGGTGAATTTATGTCTTTAAGTTTAAATGTTTTTGTTACTTTGGGAAAATGTTTTTCATAAAAAAATAAAAAAATATTGATAAACTTGTTATACATTAAATGGGTGTCATTAGAAGATTCTAAATTTGACTAGTCAATGTTCGCTAACTCTCTTTTAAAGTAGACCTGGTTGTCCAAAGAAAAATGCCGCCTTACGATTGTCATTTTTTGACTTATTTTTAATTTGTTTGAGGTCTTTATTGAAATAAATATCGGAAAATAATCCGATGTTGGTGTTTTAATAATTCCTTTTTTTAGCGAGATTTCAAATAAAGAATTTGTTAGTATATTATCGATTAATGTTGATGAATTTATTGTAATTCAAGTTGGCCTTTTTGTAAGAGAAATTACACCAAATTGGAAAACATCTTTGTAAAAGTTTTGTTTCTTTATTTTTGTCATAGTTGAGAGCGTTAATATTAAAATCTCCTACTACACATAAACTTTTTTTTTTTCGGAAGCTTTTCAAAATAATATTTTGAAGATGGTTTGACTGGGTCATGTTTATTAAAAGTGTTTTGATCATTTATTTTAAATACCTTATCTGAAATGTTTTCGAAAAGATTTTTGTATTTATCCGTTTTTGGATTCATTTTAAAGCTTTTCCGTTAAATAAAATATATATATATATATATATATATATATATATATATATATATATATATATATATATATATATATATATATATATATATATATATATATATATATATATATGTATATATATATATATATATATATATATATATATATATATATATATATATATATATATATATATATATATATATATATATATATATATATATATATATATATATATATATATATGTATATATATAAATATATATATATATATATATATATATATATATATATATATATATATATATATATATATAT